TCTGACACATACACCAATGGTTGCATCTGCTGAACCAGGAAACATTTCTTTTCATCTGTTTGACAATTGACAGGATCCTGCCAAGCAACTAGCAATCGTCAAACAGTGTTCAGCAACTGATTCCCGCTGTCATTTTCCTGCAGAAAATCATATGCAGTGAGACCAAATAATCTGACTGCAAACTGATAGCAATGTCTGTATGTATGCTCATCACTGTTGTTCACTTCATTATCTTTGACATTAGACTCCCATTTCCGTTTCTGTGGCAAATGCCCAGAAAGACCTTTGCTACTTTCATGCTGTTGAATCTCTTCTATCTTTAACTTTGTGGTTCAAGCAATTGTACCAACTTGTGGGAAGTGATATTCTTCATCTACACCTGACATGTTAGCACCAAATTGCATGTATAATGATAGGAACAGCAAGGTGGATAATTGTTCTGTTCTGACATTTGATGGTAAATTCATGCTTGTTGCATTGTTGGAGTAGTTAGTATCTGTGCTTTTTTGATAATTCTTCACAGAGACCAGAACGTATGAAATATTGTCTAATGTGATAGGGTCATGAATCCCAATGTCCAATACCAAAGGAATAATCAAGTCTGTCCCCTGCTGATTCTGCTTGCAGACAAAAGCAGTGCCATGCTTAAGTGCTTCAAGTATATGTCTGGGATGTGGTGTATATGTGATCACAATGAAATGGTTAAATCAGATATATGCTTTCAACAACCTCTTCTTAATGTTGTCTTCGCTCATCTTAGAAATCACCTCACGGTAGACCTTATAAGTAAGGAGGTACATCAAGTAGTGTACCAGAGGCATAGGACGAGAAAACCAATTTGAACTCTCTTCATTGTTCAATGGCTGTAGTGGACCACAAGCATGGTCCCATGCATGCAACAAAATAAGGTGTGCAACCACTTCTCCTCAGTATCCTCCTTCAACCAGTCCTTCCTTCATCATGTTTATGAGCAGATCCAGAACCCTTACCAACTAGGATGGTCTTTTGTGTATTTAACACCAAAGTCCCATGGGTCTAGTGAGTAGTCCATGAGTTGTTTGTAAAAGAAGAGTCGCGATCTGCACCCACCCAACTCAGCCCTGTTTATATGTTTTACTTATACAAACATGTGATACTTTTCCATATTGAAGTGCTGAATCAACCATAGTTACCAGGTCCAGCGCACTTGGCAAAATAGATCAGGAACCCTCCATGCTTTTGTCAGAGACAAAGGGTAATGAAGACAAAGTGAAAATCTCTTTTATACACTTCTTTGCATATCACATTATGGAACAATTAACAAATGGTTTAAATTGTTGTATTGTATTCTGCTACTTACGTAATGCAATTCTGTTTTCAGAAGTGAAGCAATTGTTTTTTATGTGCACATTGTAACGAGTCATATGATAATGGATAACTGAATTTGAATTGCAAAAAATAGTTACAACAACTGATTCTCTTTTATTACTGTTTTAACAAAGTACTTTTGCAATATTCACTAGAGTGATTGCATGGGAGGAAATACTCAGACCCAAAGCCATTAATGAGTATCCCTATACTTTGGTTGCTCTAGTGAAATCTATGCTACATATAATTGGTAATATTATTAATATATTCAATTTCATCCCCCCTTTCTTTATCTACCCAATTTTTAAGCACTTTGATAGTTTTTCTTGAGAATTTTTGTTGGTGAAGGCCTTTTAGAATAAAAGCAATAATGCTTTTTCTTTTGTGTAATTTGTGGAATTTTATGACCACTTTGTTAAACAAGACTGAGTCCAGCTCAGAAGTTTTGTCAAGTAACTTGCGAAGGCTTTCCCACAAACTTAATAAATATTTCCGCTCAATTACAATGAGCAGCTGGTATTTTGACTTAATTGTCCTTGATTTTATCACTTGAAAAAGCGTTTGAGTTATAATTCGGACTTGATTGTGAGTTTTATGGTAGAACATACCAGCGATAAGCAGCAGTAGTAACTTGCAGAAGATTTCAATAGCGAAAGTGATCATTTTGAGTGGGATTATTGTTTAATTTTTGTAGATAAAAATTATGCTTTCAATAATACAATTGCAATTCAATCAATTGTAATTTGTTTTTTAGCAAAAACATGGGTGAAATGGTGCTGGTTTTATACCAATTTCAAATTATAAGCATCATTGAACACCATGGACTTGAAACAGTTAATTTGCTGATCAAACAGCTGCTCTCCTAATGATTTATTCTAGTGTTGCCTATTTATTACCTTTAATACGATGCAGGTTTTGAATTGTGTCGGA